GGTATAGGTCTTTCACTTCCTTGGTTAGGTTTATTCCTAGGTATTTTATTTTTTTGATGCAATTGTGAATGGAGTTGTTTCCCTGATTTCTATTTCTATTGGTTCATTGTTAGTGTATAGGAAAGCAACAGATTTCTGTGTATTAATTTTATATCCTGCAACTTTGCTGAATTCAGATATTAGTTGTAGTAGTTTAGGAGTGGAGTCTTTAGGGTTTTTTATGTACAATATCATGTCATCTGCAAATAGTGACAGTTTGACTTCTTCTTTACCAATCTGAATTCCTTGTATTTCTTTGTTTTGTCTGACTGCTGTGGCCAGGACCTCCAGCACTATGTTGAATAACAGTGGGGAGAGTGGGCATCCCTGTCTTGTTCCCGATCTTAGAGGAAAAGCTGTTAGCTTCTCACTGTTAAGTATGATGTTGACTGTGGGTTTGTCATATATGGCCTTTATTATGTTGAGGTACTTGCCCTCTATACCCATTGGTTGAGACTGTTTATCATGAATGGATGTTGAACTTTGTCGAATGCTTTTTCAGTGTCTATGGAGATGATCATGTGCTTTTTGTCCTTCTTTTTGTTGATGTGGTGGATGATTTTGATAGATTTTCCAATGTTGTACCATCCTTTCATCCCTGAAATGAATCCCACTTGATCATGGTGTATGATCTTAATGTGTTTTTGAATTCGGTTTGCTAATATTTTGTTGAGTATTTTTGCATCTATGTTCATCAGTGATGTAGGTCTGTAATCTACTTTTCTGTGGTGTATTTGCCTGGTTTTTGTATTAGAGTGATGCTGGCTTCATAGAATGAGTTTGGAAGTATTCCCTCCTCTTCTATTTTTTGGAAAACTTGAAGGAGAATGGGTATTATGTCTTCTCTATATGTCTGATAAAATTCAGCGGTGAATCCATCTGGCCCAGGGGTTTTGTTCTTGGGTAGTTTTTTCATTCAAAAAAGTCTTTTTTATTAAAAAATTATCTCAAATATACTACTCTTCTTAGTTTTCCTAGAAATTATGAAGGTATCACAGTTCAGTTTAATTTATGTATATAAATGTATACATTATATATGTATCTATCTGGATATGTGTATATATATACATATATATATGCTCTATCTATCTACCTACCTACCTACCCATCTGTCATCTATGTATCTTACCTATCTATCATTATAAGATATCACAGGTTTAGAAATCTTGCCATTTGGGGTCCTATTTTATTACAGATTTTAGTAGAAAGATAGCCATCCATGTTGTTGGGCCTTCTGAAATAATCTTTCAAAACATTTTTATTTGTAACAAGAGGCTATGTTACATAACTAAAAGCATGAACTCTGACGTTAAGCTACCTCTGTTTGAATCACAGTTTTACTAGTTCTCAATTGTGTGAACAAGTCATTTTAACTTTCTTTCATTTCCTTGACTGTAAAATGTGGATAATGAAATACTTACCTACTAGGGAGTGGTGTAAAGATTAAATGAGGTAACATTTAAAGTGCTTAGAACAATGCCTGGCACTAGATCTAAGTACGAGATCTTGCATAAGCAGTCATTGTTATCCTAGAATCCTTTTCTTTCCTTCTCCTGTTTCCTCTTCCCACATGCTCTTAGGTACCTTCTGGAGCATTAGTTATATGGGTGAGATGAGCATGAGTAAATGCAGGCATATACACCTCTGAGAACACTGCATATACACTTCTGTAGGGTAGATGTTGATGCCCATACAAGTTCTTGTATCAAGGGTATTATAAAAAAGTTAATGGCCCTGCTCATAACTGCGAGTAGACTATCTGGAGTGATTAGACATGCAGTCACTGCATGAAACACACGTTCAGGTAATATAGCGTGGGCCTTACTATAGACAACTTTTGTGTGTCATTAAAGGATGAGCAGAATTGCATATCTTTAAAAAGCCATTCTAGACGGAGGGGTTTGCTGATGTTAAAGAAGTGCAAATATAAATAATTAACAGGTAAATCATGGGGATATGTGTTTGCTGACTCAGCCCCATATTAAGTTCTGTCTGACTGATATTATTTACAGGTCTTTGGGAAAAAAGGCTCCTGCATGCGCTGAGATAGTGTTAATGATCCTACTGCTGGCCATTAAGTCTGCTTAAAAAGATTAACCTTCCTGGCATTTTTCCTGAGTTTTGAAACTCTGCAAGTTTTTTTCCTTATCCTCTACATCTCGAAAGCATCTGTGTTTAGTAGAGAAAGGTTCCAAATTGTGCTCAGGGTGCTTGACTGGATGCTTGATTTTCCACTTTGAGTTTTAAATAGATTTGCAGATTTAGGCATCTGCGAGTTAAAGCAGCTCTATGCCTTCCTGAGTGGATTACCTACCACCTCCTTCAGTCAAATCATTCAGCACCCACTTGCCAGTTATGTTCTCTGTGCCTATTCAAAGATGCAAATCACAAGCTGTGTGTTTACCTTTATTTTTAATATTATTATATACAGAAACAAAATTATGAATCTTTCATTCATGGAAACAGTAGAAGGCAAGAAAAATGTAAGAGAAAATGGGATTTCTATATTTAATTTTTTTTTCGGCCATAAAAGTCATGGCATGACTAAGGAGCCTGGCAAGTAGTTATATGGAAAAGCACAGGCTAATGCCAAATATTTAGATAAAAACCAAAGACATCACATAAATATTCAGACATCCTGCACAGTATCAGATAACCAGATGCATGAAAATATCTGGATAATGGGCTGAGTTTTTATATATTTTTTTGATATTTGATGTCATTTAGAGCTAGACCTGACTCTACATGATCAAATTCACTCTTGAAGGTCTCTAGGGCTGTCATCTGAGTGTGTGATCCAAGAAGATATTGGAGGGTTAGAGGCTGACTTGACAGCATTATACACTAGGTGCTATCTCCTTTTCTACTTATCTTGGCATGATGCCACCTTGAAGAATGGATCTTAGCGATATATTAAGGTAATTCACCTCAAAAGATAAACAATTGCTCCCAGATAATAATTTGATAAAAATGGCTGTGGAAATATATAAAAGCATCTCAGGAAATTTGGGTTTATTTCCAGAAGAAATGAAGGAAAACTTTTTGTTGTGTTACATAGAATTACTATTAAGCATGACCATGTGAATGTTTCTTAACCAAACTTATCCTTAATTCCTACTTAAATAATGTGGGCATAACTATACTGATTTTGTAGTTTTTATGAAGTTAAATAAAAAAATATTTGTTAATATGTCTAGTCCAGAACCTGACACATTCGTGTTCAGCAAGTGATAGCTTTTAGGTGGTATCAAATACTCAGCCTTATTGACAAAGCTTTGGGATAGTGTAATATAACTCTATAATCATACAATAGCTGAGGGATGAATGTTACTTTCAGCTCCTATTACTGCTGAGTAAAATAAGTTTTATTTTTAATAACTGGAACTTGAGGATGCTCCATTGTGCACAGCCTTCAGTTGAGAATGCTTGACTAAAGGGCTCTCTCCTTGAGGGAGCCCAAGTTAATGGTTGATAGCCCTTCTATTAGTCTCTGCTGCCCAAAGGAATTTATGTCTCTGCTCCTAAAACAGGTAAGAGAGAGATAGATGCAATGTTTTGTCAGGTTGGGAAGTGATTATCGAAGGTAACGCTTACTGCTACGTGATCTGATGTTCAACTTGCTAAGGACTTTGAGGAATTTAAATTTCTAAATAATTCCCACCTATTAGATATTTTTGTATTTAAATTAATTATTGGGGGAATAAATCCACATATAGATAGATTACCTGTGCCTGTATAAACTCAGGACAATGCACACCTATGTTTCAGGGACTCGGTGTTGAGAATATTGATGGCTGTACTGCTGGGAAACACACATGGATGAAATGTGTCAAGATGGTTCGAACTGTGGACGTCTGAACATCCATCCTGAGAAACCCAGGATGAGCATTGACACTTGAATTCTGAGTTCTCTTTCCTTTTAGTAGAGGGTATTAAGAAAACCTGCTGTCACTCTGGAGACTCTCTCCTCACTCCTTCCTGAAGCACAGAAGAATGGGGTCCTAGCTAGGATTGTGCTCAGGACAGAAACTACACCTGTGATTTTAGCAGAGATGATTTAATGTGAAGAATTATCAATGTGGCATTAACGAACCAAAGATGCTGAAATGAACATTAGTGTGTTCCGGAGGTAGTCCCTGTCGACAGGGCTGGCTTCATATGTGTGACTCCTGCATCCACACAGGGTCTCACATTTAGAAGGGTCCCATGCTTGGCTGAACACTCTGCTGTCCTCATACTGAAATTCTTGGTAATTTTTAAACAAGGGGTCCACATTTTCATAACTTCACTGGCAAATTATCTAGTTGGACCCACCTGGAGGAAGCACCTACCACCTTTAGAACTTTATAAATTATGCGATACCTAATTCTGATTCCGACAGGTGAAGTATTCAGATGCGCAAGTGTTAGAAAAGGCGAGGCATTATTTCACTGTGCAGAATATTGCCTTTTTCTTTGAATGCTTCCTGGAAGGAAACATTTTAAGTAAGCATAAGACTTTAGACTTGTCTTTTCTCAAGTTTAGAGTTATGCTTGTGCCAGTGCTTGGGTTGATAGCCTGAAGTTTATATCTAGTAGAATAAATTTTATGTTGTTGTTATTTTCATTTTGTTCAGTTAAAGGATTATTATTTCCTTTTAAGTGAAATTCTTTGCATTTAAGGACTCTAAGCTGTAATATAATGCAGTTATATTATATAGAGAAGGCCACCCTCCAGACAAATGGGTCTGTGTTTTTCCATCTCGCCCTACCTCACTGGGCTATTGTGTGGCTCCCGTCTTGCTCTGGCAGCCACAGATGTAGCAATGAGTTCAGCTATACAGTTTTGGTGAGTCAAAGAAAATTAGGTTCTGTGCTAGTACTTTATAAGTGCGGCATTCTCACCACACATTCCTTTTCCTACACTTTTTTTTTTTAACCAGTCCTTTGAGGAAGATTATCAGTTTTTCTGACATACGTATGTGTTAAGGGGAAAGGGTTTTGTTGGCATGATGATGTCCAGAAAGTGACTCCATAAATTTAAACTTAAGTTCACTTTTGTAAGGCTAATTGCTCCACCTCTTGGGCTGCTTTCCCAACACCATTAAAAACCGATAGCCTATGGTCATGAAAAGGTCACATGAAAAGTTACAGAGACTGTGTGGGGAAAACAGCAAAAGCCCGTCACAAAATTATTTTGTTAGAGTTGTTTGCAGATGAAAAACATGTGTAGTAATAGTTCATGTGCTTGTTTCCATCATCCACCCTGATCTTCCTCCAACAGAAGTGTAAGGCACCTTACAATAAAATGTCAAACCTCTGCCTTAAGCAACCCCACCAGGCCCAGCTGACACGCTCAGCTTAGAGCTGTCATTAAGGGGACATACAGGCAGCCTGACAGGTTAACTTGATACACTTGATTTCAACATCACTGTTGGATCAAGGACAGACACAGCACGGGTGTGGAATTCTGAGAAGTTACTGTTTTCAAAATGCCAAAGGTGGGTTCTGTACAAAAATATCTAAGAGCATTCCATCTGTTGAGTGCATTTTCTCCATAAAGTGCACAATTTACCGCAGAGCACCTAAGAATAAAGCTACCCTTCCTGCTGCTTCACTTGTCTCTCTTTTTCATTTACTAGCAAGAATCCCCAAATTGTATAAACTATATAGTGCACTTCTGGAGAAGGGAGGAAAGAGACCCAGTTGAATCAGCTTCCTAAACTACTGCATTATATTACTCTGATGGTTTTAATTAGAGAAAAAATAACTGCATTGAGACCATCTGCATATTCATAATGTAGAACATATGGCTGGGCTTCAGGATTTTGAAAAAGAAAATACACTAATAACCATGCTTCTTTCCATTCATTTCTCAAATTCCAGGTTATTTCTTTGAGAAGTAATATATTTGAAAAATCTGTTTACTCTTTTACATGAACCAAATGTTCTCATTTCTTTAGGCTTGGTGTGTTGTATCTACTACTACTGTACATTTCAGCAACAAATGCTAACACAGAATATGGTTGTTTATGACTAAGAATGCCCCATAAGTGAGTTCATAACACTTGGTAGATGTGTATTTACATCAACACATTGTCTTTCGGTAGGCATAAGTTACTGGAGTTGTATTAAAGGGAAAGTGTTGTTAGGACTTACTGAGAGCATGTTAAGGAATGAAACCAAGATGTATGTGTAGTGTGTATACACATGGACATGTGTGTGTCTGGGCCCATCAAGGTGTGTGTATTTTCAGATAGGACTTAAAAATATGCATCTAATTTTGACCAACTGAAGTAATCAGGAACTGCGAAAACTAAAAGGATTAAATATAAAGTATTTCAAACTTACTATTATTATGGATGATAATAAATAAGATGAATTGATTTTTGAATTTTACACTCTTAATGGAGGAAAAAGCAATCTTTAGTTATGTTAGAAGAAAATAGAAAACAAATGGAACTTTTTGTTGTTGTTCTGGCTTGTGGGTAGTCATTGGATCAATAAATCCAATTCCCAATGTAAGGTAACAAACAAGAAAACAACCAAAGAGCTAGAACTGGCAGAGCTATCTTAGTAACAAAAAAGGAAAATGTGTAAACAGAGAGAAAAAGATTAGGAAAGAAAATGTTTCTTCTTAGAGACCAAGCTACCATGTTCATAGAACAAGGTGAAAGGAAACAAGAAGAACAAAAGTTAGATGGCAGGAAGGTGTATGTTGTTGAGAATTTAAGGAAATGCACCTGCTCCCCAGGAGACTGTCCCGGGAGCACTCGTGTCCTGTGGGCATGGTGGGTCTCAGCTACTCTTGGTGCTCCAAGGCACTTTAGGGCTCAAAGATACAATATGTTTTTTTTTGTGTGTTTCCACACTCTGTCAGAATTTAGCAAAGTGTCTTAGGCACTTAGATGAAACACTTTATAACTTGTTGCTCAGTTTGCAGATAAAAATGGATATTTGAAGTATTATTTATTAAAAATAAAATACTTTAGGGCAGTGATTGCCACTGAAATAAACAACATGCTTATATAAAAATTATGCCAGAGTGCCTGTTTTGTAAAAGGAAACAATCTGACTCTTCCATTTATTTAATGAGGGCATTGGAAATTTCCAGTATTTCACAAATCTACTGTGATAGCTGTCAGATTGGGAATGAGCTTGTATGGGCATACTAAGTGATTCCTTTTGCAAGGAATTGACTTATCTGAATTAGTTTTGTCTTTTTTTCCCCTTCCAGTTAGAGTATCACAACCCTGATTTCACCAATATTCTGTTTTGAAATTGATGGTATTAATTCAGTTCAATTGCCATAGCTCTTCAAATAGTAGAAAGATGTCTATTATGTTTAATCTATTTTCTAATACTAGTGATGATAATACAAAGCTAATGATTAGGTGCATTTAGTTTTGAGATTTGCTTCATGCTTACTGTCCTTATATCTACCTAAAAATTTCCTTTGCTTTTTTCTTTACTGTGAATATCAAGATTTTTCACAATGGATTCAGCCTGGTGTTTCTTGTGCATATACTTATCTTGGATAAAAGCAGTGTGATGTAAGTATTTTTTAAACTCTGGGTCAGGTATTATTTTATTTATCCTACTCATAATGTTTTTCTCTATGAGTTCTACAATATTTAGAACTCAGTTATAGCTGATAAAATTATCCCCATTCTTTTTCAGGGAACAAAGAGTACTTGGATTTTGCAATGCCTTGTCTTAGGAAAATATGGACAATTTGACCAGTGTTAATCTCACTCTCTCTCCTTTAAAAATTTGCTTTGGTTTTATGCCAACCCAGAATTGGCCATGAAAAAATAGAATAAAGAAATAAAATTATATTGAAAAAAGAATTCACTGAATTTATTCCCTCTGCATCTTGTGTGTGTGCATGTGTGTGTGTGGATGTGTCTGAGTGTGTGTGTGTGTGTGTGTGTGTGTGTGTGTGTGTGTATACTCATACAGGAAATGATTTTGCTCAATAATGTTAATGACTAATCTTCATAAGTCATATTATAGTTTACAAAGGATTTTTTCACAGATACTTTCCCATGAAGCAGCAGCCTTGGAAAGGTTATTGTTTATTCCCATGTTTAGATGTTTTGATTCAGGCTCAGTGAGATTAACTCCCTCACATTCAAGCAAGGCAAGTGAGTGGTGTTGCTGGGCCCTGAGAGCAGTCCCCCTGTGGTGGCACCCCACCCCTCCATGTCCAAATCACCCCCCAGTGGCCCAGGAAGTCCTGTGCAGGCTGTGTGGAGTCCTAATCTGCTGCACTCATCTGGCAAGGCAGTGCTTACCTGCTTTTAATTTGACCTTCCGAGAGAACTTTCCTTACATCCAGCACTCAGCTCCTCATTCTAAAGACCAGACACTTGACCTATACATTCTGAGGGTCAGAAACTTCCCATGTCTGGCAAAGAGTTTCCCCCAAGCTGCTGTAATTGAGTACCAAGAATTTCTTTCTCTCACCAAAACTGGGTCACATTACAGATAGGGGGAGAGTGTGTGGAACTAGTTCAGAATGGCAGCTGACCAAGTTCTGTTGCTGGCAACAAAAATGGAAAATGGCCTATGTTAAAGTCTAACGTGAAATTGCAAGCGATTAAAATAATAATAAAAAAGCTGCCAATGGTATTAAATAAAACCTTTAAAAATTTAAGGAACATAGTTTAGAACATATTGGTTTACTTGGTGACCTCTCCACTGTATCTCTGTGTCCGGTCTATGCAGGAAACACAGCAAAGGGAAGGACTATGAAGCAGAAACCTCAGCTCTGTACTTTCCTGATTCTTGGAGCCTCACATCCCCATGAGTAATGTCAGAGTGGTTTTTATTTATTTTTTTTAACATCGCTTGGCAGAGCTGTGGAAGTGTCTTATTTCTTCACCTCTTGCTGGCCATGTACATTGACAGAACTCTCTTCTGCTGGCCCTGCAGCGCTGCCAAGGCAGGGAAATGTGTTATGTTGCATGGATTCATCTCTCAACTCCTTCTCATTCATTCCTATTTTCCATGGCACTTTGATCCTTTCTCGTTTTCCACTCCAAATTGGTCTCTGTGTATCCTGTGCCAGTTGGCACACTTCTATTAAAGAAACATTTGCTAATAATATCCTGGCTGTTCTGACTTCTCCTCCACAGTCTCTTTTGTCCTATCTGGTATAATGTTGGTTGTTCTGAATACCACTGTTGAATCTTGCTAGTACAAGCTTGACTACTTAGCTCTTCTTATCTATAGATTCACCAAAATTCTTTGTTCCAAAGAGCTCAGATATTTTTCAAAAAGTTGTTTTTATTAGATAACATTTCATTTTAACAATTTGACAAAAAGAGCTTGTTAAAGAATTTATAATGGTTTGCTAATATGTTAATGCTGCCTGTTGTGCTTAAGCTTGTTGAAATACACTTTCTAGTTTGATAAAGTATATCTTACCCAGAGATACCCTAGTGGAATGGCTCAGAAGACTCTGTCTTACCAACTGTGCTACACTGGATGAGTTACCAAGCCTTTCCACGCCTCTATTCTGCATCAGAAATAGGGAGTGGAAGCTTCCCCTGCCTCTGGGCATTAAATGTAACGAGTCTATGAATTTGTAAAATGAAAAGGCAAACTTGGCATGTTGCCTGAGGACCCCTAGGAGTTACATTTTAGATGCTTTTGGCTGTGTGTTTCTAGAAATTGGTTTTTATTTATTTTTTTTAACATCGCTTGGCAGAGCTGTGGAAGTGTCTTATTTCTTCACCTCTTGCTGGCCATGTACATTGACAGAACTCTCTTCTGCTGGCCCTGCAGCGCTGCCAAGGCAGGGAAATGTGTTATGTTGCATGGATTCATCTCTCAACTCCTTCTCATTCATTCCTATTTTCCATGGCACTTTGATCCTTTCTCGTTTTCCACTCCAAATTGGTCTCTGTGTATCCTGTGCCAGTTGGCACACTTCTATTAAAGAAACATTTGCTAATAATATCCTGGCTGTTCTGACTTCTCCTCCACAGTCTCTTTTGTCCTATCTGGTATAATGTTGGTTGTTCTGAATACCACTGTTGAATCTTGCTAGTACAAGCTTGACTACTTAGCTCTTCTTATCTATAGATTCACCAAAATTCTTTGTTCCAAAGAGCTCAGATATTTTTCAAAAAGTTGTTTTTATTAGATAACATTTCATTTTAACAATTTGACAAAAAGAGCTTGTTAAAGAATTTATAATGGTTTGCTAATATGTTAATGCTGCCTGTTGTGCTTAAGCTTGTTGAAATACACTTTCTAGTTTGATAAAGTATATCTTACCCAGAGATACCCTAGTGGAATGGCTCAGAAGACTCTGTCTTACCAACTGTGCTACACTGGATGAGTTACCAAGCCTTTCCACGCCTCTATTCTGCATCAGAAATAGGGAGTGGAAGCTTCCCCTGCCTCTGGGCATTAAATGTAACGAGTCTATGAATTTGTAAAATGAAAAGGCAAACTTGGCATGTTGCCTGAGGACCCCTAGGAGTTACATTTTAGATGCTTTTGGCTGTGTGTTTCTAGAAATCAGTTTCCTCATTAGTCTTCTTCCAACTTATTTTGAAATTCAGCCTCTGGATTTTTCTGTCTCCTTCCCCTGCAGCCCAGTTAAACTTGTTTATTTCTGGATAGCATCAGCTTCTATATGTGCTTTGAGGTAAAGCTGCATCAGCCCCTGAGAGCACAATTTCAGTAGGGGTATTTCAAAGAAGAGTAACTTTTGAGGCTGCGAGCTCCTGTTCTTTGTTTTCTTTCTTAGATTACTGAATAGTTGTCAGATGTAAATGTGATTCCTGCGTTTTGTTTGAATTGGGTGACTTGGTTTACATGAATATTTTATCATTATACATTAACTTTATTTGGAACATGATTTTTTAAAGAGTTCTGTTTGAGTAAGAACATTTCTATTATGCCCTAGGCCTCATTTTTCTGTGGAAATGTGTTTTCAGTTTTATAATAGAAGACTATTGGAAAACCAGGTTAAAATGAAAGCATTTCATTTTGAAAGCAACTTTTCAATAATACTACGTGTAAGGCCTTGGTAAAGTTTTTAGGCTTTTAATATTTAATAAGGTAGATTATAGGTTTGAGAGAACATTATATTCCACAGAGATGGTATACCTCTGTATTTCATAAAGGAACATGTTTAGGCCTTAAATCACGCAGTTTTGGACTTTAATTTTATGCTGCCTCTTAGCTGAGTGATATTACGCAAGGCATTTTGCCTCTTTGAGCCTCAGCTTATCACCTGTAAGGTGAGGGCAACCATAATTACTTCCCAAGACTAGAGCTAAACACCATCTAACCCACAGGAGGCACTCAACAAGTGGCATTGGGATGATTTTCTATTAAGAGATGAGAGAGATTTCAGTTCCCTAGCCTTAGGGCATCATATCTTTTTTTCTTTTAGACTTGAAGTAAGAATTCACTAGGTACAGTTGTGTAATTTAACTGTCACTTTAATAAATTTGTCTTTAAACGATATCTACCAATGATTTCCTTCATCCAGGAAACCAGCCTTTTTATCACATCCTCAGCCTTCTTAAAGGTTAATTGTCAGCAAAGCAAGTCAATGATTTATCAGATGCTTTTCTTTAGCCAAAGAGTTCTTCCAGTTTATAGGTGAAGTTCCCATTATATACTCTGTTTTGCTCCTCTGTTGGTTTTCTGACTCAAATCAAGAACATTTCTCTCTCTCCTTATTCCTCTCTCTCTCTCCCTCCTCTGTGCCTTTCTTTCTTTCTTTCTTTCTCTCAGACAACATGTATTTATTGAGGGTCGGGTACTTTGCTCTGGGTCTTAGGATAGAGCAGTGAGCAAATAGGAAGGCCTCCTTTAAATGAGATGGTCAGAGAAGGCCTCTCTGAGAAGGTAACACGCAGATTGAGAAATCTTTCAATGCAAATGAGAAAACATTTGTTTATACTTCTTTTACCTTTACCCAGAGAGCAAAGAGCCCCAGAGGGTTCTGAAATATTCCTGGCCCTTGAGCCATATCTCCCTCTTTGAGACTATATCTTACAGACATAGATGGCCACCTGGCTTTGTCTTATCTTCATCATGAATTTCATTTGATTTCCTCTCAAAAATGGTTGGGAGGCCATATATGCTATGGGTGGTTTTAACCAATTTTTCCTTTAAGCCTGCCACTTGTATTTTTGAACATAGACTGAGAAGCCATTAGTGGGCAGATGTGATAGTTAACTTTATGTAGCAACTTGATTGGGCCGCAGGGTGGCCAGTAGCTAGTTAAAGATTGTTTCTGGATGTGCCTATGAGAATGTTTCTGGATGAGATTAGCATTTGAATCAATAGACTGAGAAAGCAGATTGCCATTCTTAATGTGAGTGGGCATCCAATCCGCTGAGCGTCCAAACAGAACAAAAAGGTAGGGAAAGGGAGAATTCACTCTCCCTTGAGACTGCTTGCGCTGGAATATCCATCTTCCCCTGCCCTCACACCAGAACTTACACCCCTGGTTCTTCTGCTCTCAAGCCTTTGGACTTGGACCAAAACTATACCAGCAGCTTTCCTGGGTCTTCAGCTTACAGATTACAGATCACAGGACTTTTCAGCCTCTGTAGATGTGCAAGTCAGATCCTTATAATACATGTCTCTCTCTTTCTCTCTTGTACATGTATGTATATGTATTGCCATCTTCCTTCCTGCCACAGTGTTGGGAATTTGGTCCAGGTTTGGACCATTCTGGTACCTTACATCCTACGTCACATGAGGCCTCTGAGGAGTGGAGGCATAACTCAAGGAAAGTCAATGAATATCTTTTGCCAGGATTGGCATAGGGATGTCAGGAGAGGAGAATTCATTTTGATTAAAGG